TCCTTTCTAGTAGGTTATTTCCTAACCCACCATTTTAATTATACTTAATTCTCCAGATTTAAGCTTTAACAAGTGTTTGTATTTTTATCCCTGCTAGCAGTGGTTACTAAAGGTGTTAAAACTGTACACAAAATCAATTTGAGTGTCACTGGAAAACCCTAAGAAGATGTGAATTCTTTCTAGCTGGTGCAAAATGAGACAAAACACCCATTCAAGTTAATGCTGCTTCAACTTGAGTGAAAACTTTGAACTTGTCCCCATGTATGCTTATAATTTATGAATGTACACAAATGAAAGGGTAAATAAAGGAAAGGGGCTGGTAAATTGAGAAAATCAGTTCCTGGCATGTTTTGAAAGCCTGAGCTAGCTGCCTGCATTGCTAGCTAACAACTACAACTAGCATCTGTATATTTGGTAAAACAACTGTGGCTAATGAAATAGGAACTCCAAAAACGGCACTGTGGGCCAAATGTGCTTGAATAACAAAAAATAACTTTGCATTCAGTCAGTCAGTCAGTCTGACATTTTGATCCCGATATCTTGGCAAACTACTGACCAGACTGTAATGACAACTTGTATATTCATGGCCTACAGAGGATTCCTAATGGTTTTGGTGACACCCTGATGTTATCTCAAGCACCACATCTAGACTCAACCCTTGGCATCTCTTTGGATACCCTTTAGCATCATTTTTGTGCATGTAGGGCTCTGTGGGGTCAAGTTAGCATGAATAACTATGCAACCTCCATTTAGACTTTCAAATTAAAACTAATGTTTATCTTAAAACGGCACGTGGTTAACATCGTGAAGCACCATTTTGGTTAGGTTTAGGCAACAAAACTATTTGGTTAGGTTTAAGAAAATAGTTTCGATTAAAATTACTACGTTACTTAAATGACTTAAATTACGTAAGTTCAGTAATGCTACTTGCGTAACTTACGTAAAATCACTAAAAGGAATCAATGTTGACTTTTTCACACGGGAAATGAACGCTGGTCTCGTGGGTGAAAGTTTGGTTTTTGTCCCATCCATCAATCCCAACCACCTCCATACTCAGACTTTCTGTTATTTATACTAAAACTTTTAGTGTTAAACTATGGTGCTGAGCTTTCCCCAGTGTGTTGAACGTTGACCCGAAAGGGTGCCATGTGTGTTGGTACCACACTCCAACAGACGTGACAAGGCATAGCTATTTGATGTTCTGCGAATGAGAATGGGCTGCTAGACAAGGACAGCAAAAAAAGACAAATGCAATTGCTCTGCATTTTAACACGGCTCCACAAATTCTTCAATGGAGCTCCCTGATAGTGTCTACCGTTAGTTGCTAATAGATTTATGACACAACTGCAAACCCTGTAGAAATGCAACATCCAGGTGGCATGGACCTTCTGGTGTCAATGTTCAGAACAGGAGACTGAGAACACCACCAAACACTCATCACTTCCATCCATGAACATAAGAAAGGGAATAGTCCTCTTTCTCATCAGTGGCCCTGTGGGGGGGTTTAGCCTGAGGATATCAAGACTTCATCTTTTCCATGACTCCTCTGCTGAGGTGTGAAACAGCGTAAGAGAAAAGAATGGTCCTCCCCTGAGACTAATGGCGCATGAAGTGGACCTGAGCTATAAATGCTGATGCAATCAAAGGATGCCAATAACCTGTGAAATGCAAACTGTTCCTATGGATGACAGTGGTGCAGGGGGAACATCAGGGCATTGGCAGCATGTCATTGGGTATCCTAAATACAAAGTGTCTGAAAACTCGTGTATCATAGACAAAAGTATCATATATATTTGTATTATATGTGTATTCACGTTCTGCATCTTTTTTTTTTGTTATCTGTTCATCACATGATTTCTCAGATCCCACCGGGTGGATGTTCGACAGGACTTTGTGAATGATGCAACTCCCAGTTCCTAGTACATACAATACATAAGTCTGAATAATGAGTTAGATCAACTATATTACTGTAACGATCACTCCACTGCAACAACAGCTGTAACTCAGTTGGATTGATCATCCTCACATTATACTGATAACATTAAAGCCATTACAGTGATAATCCAGTACAGCTGTTGACCGGATGAGATCTTATCTGACAGATACAATGCCGTCCACTCATAGTAATGGTTAACATTTCACACCTTTTACTCTACAGTGTACTGTGCCTTAGGCAATGTGGTGTCCTTGTCTCTATATTCTACCATATAATATGCAATTATTGGGAGATTGCTGAGCATTTTTGCCAATGATGTAGCATCTCACAGTGAAAAACCCTCAGTGATTGATATAAACACACGTGTTCATAGAGAGAATTAAGAGACAGGAAAATTGTAATTAATTCATTGTTATAATATAGGCTGGTCTCATTATTTTCTGTTTTTAATTTATAAAAATCTGGAATCTGTTGTTGTTAAAATGTTAAAAAAGTGAAAATCATATAAAACATTTAAAACAAAAATGTAGGTCAACATCCAAATTAAAAAAGTACTTGCTGTTAACTGTAAGGCTGCTGCAGTATTTATTTTCAATGCTTTGAAATACTCACGCTTCACAGTCATTTGCATGTGAAGCTCATTTGCATTTAATACCAAATTCTCTACTTACAATCTATTACAGGAAACAGAGTGTACTGTAAACAATGCTGAATACTGTCTTCATGCACCAGGAAGTATAACATCTGAATTTATGGGGACATAAATTTTGTTTTTCACTGCAGGCGCTCTGACTTCTGTGTCAGGTGTTACTAATAGCATTAATAGTTGTTTTCGGACCAAACTTTTCTGGGGACTCCCTGGGAGGAACTGTTTACTGGATGTAAACTGAATACATCCAGATACACCTGGGCCCTGTTTCAGAAAGCAGGCCTAACAAACTCTGAGCTTCTCCCTGAGCTCTGGGTTGACTGAGCCTGAGGTGGCAAACTCTGAATTTTCGGTTCCAGAACAGCTGATCAGAATAAGTTCAATTAACCCTGAGTATGTTGAGCCTGATGGAAGCGCGTGCGTGGGGATGAAAAAAAGCCATCATCAATGGAGCTGATATTACGATTCACCATGGCAACGGGTAAATAAAGGCAGAGCCTCCATTTTAATTGGGTGGAGCTATAAATATGAATGCTGCCAACGCGGACCATGATAAACGCAGGAGTGGAAGAAGGATCAATGCGTTAACATTATTAGTCTACTACACAGCGTTGCTCATTGATCATTTACCAGACTGGAATTTCCTTAATGAATGATAAAGTGCTACAGCCCATTACATTCGATTTTAAATAGGAAGGCTATATTTATTAAACTGTAACCCGACGGGGCTAAATGCCGGTGGCAATCGGCTACCTGATTATGAAAATAGGTTGGCTATAGATCAAATATAAGACACAGTTTACTCGTGGACCTATGATTGTAAAGTCACAGTCACACCCAGCAGGTTGGTCTACTAATTATTTTTTTGCAGTGGAAAATGTCTATAGGTTTAAAGTTTTAGACGTCAATTTTACATTAATAAAATCTTGCTCATTTTGTATTTTTTTAATGCTATCAAAACACATTCAGACTATCAGCAGGTAGGCCTAATAATGAAAGACTCACTTTTAAACCTTATTTAGGCCTATTTGTTTCACATTAGCCCATCCCCAGTTGACAACTGAGGATAAATCCACGACGTGTGGAGATCTGTCCTTACATCGATGACAGATTGATTATAAAAGCGGTCATGTTCAAGATCATGTTTGGGTAAAAAACGAATAGCCTATCTAACTTTTTAAGTTTTAAAGATGTAAATGCATTCAGATTTGTGCTACTGTGATATCAACAGTATGAAGTGTGTCAGACAGCCACCTCAGGCTCCGCAGGAGGGGAGGAGTCAGAGAGAAACAATTGATCAGCATCAGTTGCTGGAGTTACTGATCTAGGGATTATCTGATCTTGCTCTCTGAAACAGAAAACCCAGAGTTTCCCTCATCTCAGGCTCAACATACTCAGAATTTTCACTAATCCCGCTTTCTGAAACGGGGCCCTGGTAGATCCACCCAACTTGGTCTCAGCCGTAAATGAAAACACCTGTGTGGGTGTTCAGGGCCTTTCAAAAAGCCAAGTACTTAGAACAGATTCAAACACCAGACTACTTCCAAAATTAGGGATTCATGGGATTCATTTGAATATAGGTGCTTTTTCTGTTGATTTGTCCCTACTGTGTTACTGCATTTTACATTGTTTTTTAGCAAAATGAGCTGTGTCACTGCACTGTGCACAACGCATTCTATACAGCAGAGTTTCACATTTCACGTTTGCCAACAGCCTTTGAAAAGCACTGACATAATGCAGCGCCATGCTTTGACAGCATGATGATATGGTTTTATTGAGCTAGTCTAATTTGCGTTTTAGGACATGTGCATATTAATGTAGAGGTGTGTCTAATAAGGTGTTGCGTCGAAAATGAGTGTGTGGAGTAAGTTCTCCATGACATCTCATCCTTCATCTCATCAGTTTTGAATCAACAACACTTTTGATCCAAGTTTCTCCCAGTGTGGTGAAGTCAAGTTAAGCTACAGAATTTAATTAATTAATTTAAAGGGTTTGTTTTCCTTCTGATCTCTTCCAAGTCAGTCTTTTAATCTGAAACATTTCTTTTCTTTTAAAAGCCACAGTATTTTATCAGTATATAGTATCAGGGGTGTGAGATAAATTAACTTCTCTTCAGATAAAATTTTCTTGAATTAAGTGAGAATATCTTGAAATAATCCAAGTCATGCATGATATATACAATGATCACACTGAAAAAAAGTTGGTAACCAGCCCTACCCATAACCCAAAACCATATTTTGCACTGGTACTCCAATTAAAATTTCATAATTTTTATAAAAACCTGAATTTTCTTCATATTTGGGTGGTAAGGCCTGTCAAACTGAAGAAACCAGTGGATAGTAAACCCTTTATTTCCACATCATGACAATATCTATTTTAATTCAGCACACTGTGTCAGTTGGGTCTGAAACTTACACTCTTTGGACATTCCTACTCCGAAGCACTTCTGCAGGCGGCAGTACTGACAGCGGTTCCTCGTCACCTTATTGATAATGCAATTCTTGTCCCGGTGACACGTGTACACCATGTTCTTCTGGATGCTTCGGCGGAAAAAACCCTGAGGAGACAGACACACAGACAGAGAGGGGGTTGGTTTATGAAAAGAAGACTTTCACGATGTTAACTCAATTTTGCTTCTAATCTTCTGTAGCAGCCTATTTTCTAAAACATCCACACAGCTCCATTGAAATTCTCCTGCCACTGGATATCATAATGTCACGACAGCCTGTATAACAATGTGCTAGATGTTTTGTCTTTTCTGTGCCGTTAAGGCTGAGAGAAAAGAGAGTCGGTGTGTCCCTGCTGGGAACTCTGTGGAGCTTCAAATGCTGGATTTAAGCTCAGAAAAAAGTACTAGGGGGAACAGAGAGCAATACGGAAGAATAACTAAGGACTTTGGTTCAGATGTGGGTGAGGAGCATCACGTCTGAACTTGACAAGGTGACATTGAGCTTCTGTGGAAGACCAAAGCTACTTTTCTTTCAAAATAATTCTTTCATTGTAATTCGGCAGTTCAGCATGGATCTTAATTTTTTTTTTTGGTTTGGTGTTAAAAGAGATGTAAGTAAATAATTACAAAAACATGTAGCTATATCTACACTTGACGTGACAGTGGAATAGCTGAGAGAAGGGATCATTACAGTTTGAGGCATTGAGTTCAGGGAATCAAGTTCAGGACATTAAGTTTTAACTCCTACATTGCCACAAATGACAAGAAAACTAGTAATGTCGCCATGATAATAACATTTTCATTTTTTTTAACAGAAGACTAAATGTCTTTGAATTTCATAAATGTTAACTTACCGTTATGATGTATACTCTTGAAGCCTACATGCACACCAAAAGGCTAAATTTTTTAACATGTGCAAGACTGGCCCACGGACCCACTTGGGCCCCGCAGGACCCAAATTTAGGTTTTATGTAATTTATGTAAAAGTAAATTAAAGTTGGAGTGCGGGACTTTTACATATAAATGAACGATTGTCACATTCAAACCCTAGCCAAACGAGTTCACACAATGCTTATTAAGCCTATCACCGCCAGGCAGGCCTGCCAGCAGAAATGACTGGGCCCCTGAAAAGGTCCAGTAAATGGGCCCTCTGCAAATCTGCTTTACTCGTGTCAAGGCATGCTGTGCTCTCTCTCTATCTCCTACATAAAAACATACGTGGCTTGCTATATGCGGTGCACTTCTGATGTTTTGATGCTGCATACAACAAACATTACTCAGAGGGAGTTTTCATTATGAAACAAGTTATATTTTACTAAAGCAACATAAAAAAATAAAATAATAAATTTTTTATTTAAATAAGTAACGAAATTAAATTTGGTTATCTTTGCTTGTATTTAGAATGAACATCATTAGTGTTGGACTGCATGGGCCCCCTTAGCAGCCCCAGAATGCTTTCTCCTTTTTCCCACCTTATGAGCGGCCCTGCTGCCAGGTAAATCTTACAGTATTTCACAATATACAGGAGTTTTAAAATCGGGTGTCAGTTAGTGTTGTGTCGTTCAAAGAACGTTTCGTTCATAAGATCTAATTGTGTGTATGACTCGGGAGGAACGGGTTGTCTCAGTGAGTGATTCGTTCATTTTCACCCATGTGTCACACGGCAGCTGCATGGGCTCCGTCAGCACAGGAAACAGAATTGATTAGTTCACGACTCTCAACTGTGGGTCTGTTTGAGTCGTTCATTTGTCACGTGACAGCTCGGCTACAGGGCTGTGGTAAGCAGGCAGCACAGGAAACAGAACTGATTAGTTCACGACTCATAGCAACTGTGGGTCTCTAGGTTTGAGGAATGAACGACTCGTTCACCGCTCACATGGGTCCTCCTCAGGCTGAGTGACTTCCAGCTCAGGAGAATGAGAGGCAGGTCGGCTGTCAGGTAACAGTCATTATATAGCTACTTTGTTAATTATGTGACATTTTATAAAGCATAACATTATTACAGCGTAGCGATGTTATAGTTTTAACACAGCCGCACCGTAACTTTAGTCCTGCTAGTGTTTACAGCTAACAGCTGATGAGAGTTGTTCTGGTTCTGCTCCACTTCAGAGCCCTGACAGGGTTCTACCGGGAGCCGAATTACCTCCGAGGTCATCTTCTCTCCAAAACAAACAGACCCGGACATTAAAACATTAAAACACAGCCACGTAAACGTTAGCTCTTTGGTGTGTTACAGCTAACAGCTGATCCAGGTCCACCAGAGAACGCAACGTAACTTTTACTTTTTATTTACCAACAGAGCCGTGCTGTTGTTTCACAGCTCCTGATTGGTGAACAACCTGCAGTGTTTGACAGCGATGTGCTCATGTGTGTTTCTCTGTCTGCAGAATCAGGACCTGATGTGGCCCATTCTGCGTCCAGACCTGCCAAACTGCTGCTTTATATGTGTTTATTTCTCTGTTCCTCTCTCTGTGCTGGAGTTCTTTAAGAACTTGGTGGCTTGATCCAGATTATTATTAAATTGGTTGAATTTTAATAAGAGTGTGTTTATTCATATAGTGTATCAAGCTTATTACTTCTATATACGCAAATCTGATATTAATATTTTACTCATGGATAAGGACGTTAGGCTACTGTATGAATGAGCACGTCAGAGATAATGATAGTAATTATATACATAAGCCTTTATATGGCTGGTCTGGTTGTATACTCAGGAAAGATTGTGAAAATGGAAGGATTTAGCCGGAGTAGCGGTGATTGCATATAGACAACATATTTCTGTTGTTTTTACATGGTTTGAATTTGGTTGTGGGCCCAAGTGGGTTTATATAATGATAATAGAGAGTGAATTTGTGCATTATACTTTGTCAAATTAAGCAAGTCAGGCAGCCTTCCGTGTTTGAGAACGGCGCTGTTTTTTAATCGCCCACTAGAGGGCTGCAGCACCATAATAAACAGCCTAGTTCAAATGAACGAAATGAACAAAATTACTCAAAAAAGATTAGTTAATTTTAATGACTGAGATTTGAATGAACGAGTCTGTCAAAAGACTCAAACTTGCCATCACTAGTGTCAGTGGACCACATTCCCGCACTGGTGGACTGGTAATGAGTTTTACACCAGCCAGCAATGGTTTGTTTGAAAATGGGAGCTCAATGATCTACCATTGCTCTAAAAAAAATAAAAACATGAAAAGTGATTATGGTTTACTTTTACTTAGTATGACGATATAGTTTGTTGCTTTGGCAGCATTGTATTGTATGCAGTCATTCCAACAACGCCACTTGAATTGAACGGAGATGACACAGTTCTCTCTCTACATGGAGTATGGTGGAACCTGTGGCAGAAAAACCTAAGAAGCATCCAAGAAAAGTTTGAAAAAGCTACATATAAAAAAGACACAACGTTTGAGCAAAGGATTACAGTCAAACAACGGAGAGTGCTGAAAGAAGGGACTAACACGGATGTCACATTTCTGCTCTTGGACAGGTTGGTATAAAACATTCTCACTCCCAACTCATCAGTAGGGATTGGCGTTACATTTTAATGCCCTGTGTACTCCTTTAGCATCATTTTTGCACGCATACTTACCAATAATATGCAATGTCCGGTGAAGTTAGCAATAAATTTAGGGTTAGGGTTAATGCGACGTTCAGTTTGACTTTCATAATAAAACTAGTGATTAACATTGTGAAACTGAAAGTGGTTAACTTTGTGAATGGTTAGGTTTAGGCACCAAAACAACTTGATTAGGTTTAAGAAAAGATCATAGTTTGGTGTAACATGACTTAAAAAGAATCAGTGTTGACTTTGTGTTTCCCATGTGAAATGAACACCGGTCTCCTGGGTGAAAGCCTGTTTTCTGTTCTAGCCTGATAATAAGACTGAATTGCCATTTAATTCATTATTTATTACTCTGAACAAAATTATGAATGCAACACTTTTGTTTTGGCCCCCATTCATCATTAGCTGAACTCAAAGATCTAAGACTTTCTCTATGTACACAAAAGGCCTATTTCTCTCAAATATTGTTCATAAATCTGTCAAAATCTGTGTCAGTGAGCACTTCTCCTTTGCCGAGATAATCCATCCACCTCACAGGTGTGGCATATCAAGATGCTGATCAGACAGCATGGGTTCTGCACTGGTGCACTGCCTTAGGCTGGCCACAATAAAAGGCCACTTGAAAATGTGTGGTTCCATCACACAGTACAATGCCACAGATGTCGCAAGTGCAGGGGGAGCGTGCAATTGGCATGCTGACTGCAGGAATGTACACCAGAGCTGTTTTTGAGCTGAATTTGGCAGTACATCCACCCGGCCTCACAACTGCAGACCACGTGTAACCACACCAGCCCAGGAACTCCACATCCAGCATCTTCACCTCCAAGATTGTCTGAGACCAGCCACCAGGACAGCTGCTGCAACAATCGCTTTGCATAACCAAGGAATTTCTGCATTCTGTCAGGAACCGTCTCAGGGAAGCTCATGTGCATGCTCGTCGTCCTCATCGGGGTCTCGTCCTGACTGCAACTTTGCACAAGTGGACCAACATTCCACAGGCCACAATCAACAACCTCATCAACTCTATGCGAAGCAGATGTGTTGCACTGCGTGAGGCAAATGGTGGTCACACCTACTGACTGGTTTTCACGGACTCTCACGGACCCTCCCAATACAGTCAAACAGCACATTTTCAAGTGGCCTTTTATTGTGTTGTCTTGAATAAGATTGTGTTCAAATTATCTAACTACTAAACTAAAGGACACACAATAAACCTGTAGCGGTGTACTATTGGTGTTAAAACACTGGTTGTTTGCTGGGGCAATTTGGTTTGGGGAAAGATGGGCCTAGAGCTCACTGGAACCACCAGCAGGTTAATCTGGCCCCTGAGTGATGAATACGTTTGCACAGAAAATGGAAAACGGCAAGTACCTGAGCACCCAATCCTTGTATAATGCCAATAGACTTTTGAGCCTGGTGCACGGCAAGCATAATTTCTAATGGTAAAAAATATACTTCATAGTGTTGAGTCACAGGTTTTTATGTCTAAAAACAAAACTGGGTATTTATCCGAGTTGTATAGAAAAGGTAATGGTAAATGGTCT